TGAGGCACAAAGCCGGGACTCGCAGCATCTGCTTATTATTCCTGCACCCCCATCATTAAAAAAAGAGAAAAGATGAAAAGGCCCCATTGGCAAAGCCGGGGAGACGTGGAGCGGCACCGAGCGCGGCCTGGCCCCCAGTTGTTGGGGGTTTTTGTACAGCGGGGAGACGCGAATCCTGGGGGACAAAAGTAACTGCTAAGGTAAGTTAAACCTTGTCGAGATGAACTTTCCTGCTACTTTTAATTAAAAGTTCTTTGGAATTAAAAAGGACACTATTCAGGAAGGGCTGAAAAAAAAAATTCATTGACACCAGCCCGCCCCCCTCCCCTTTTTCCCAAGGAAAAGAAAAAGCTGTTTTTGTGTGTCTGCTCACCCAGCCCGCACTGTACAAAAGGAAGCGGATTTGCAGCAAGACACATGAGATGACCCCCTGACCCCGAGCCGCTGAAAAGTCCTCAATGGCATAAATACCAGATAATCAATCACATACCAGGAGGGCCGGTCCCCCTGCCCTCGCCCCCGCCGCCGGGTTTATGAGAGATGCACTGTAAACGGACACCGGCTCCTGACGGGAGGCCCCTCTCGGCATTCCTCTGCTGGACCAGGAGACCCCGGCCGCCTCTCAGACCGTGTTTCATCCCTCTTTTATAAAGCCCAGCATGGAAATGCCGAGCATCCTCAAGCTTGCCATAGCTGATCCCTTGTGCTTCAGAGCAAAGGGGGACAGAGACACCTCTCTGTACTCTGGAGAGATGGCCAAGCATCCTCTGCGCCACCACAGGCCAGTGTGTGGCCAGTGCTGAGTTGGGTATGCAGAAAGCAGGGAGATACCAGTCCCATTTACAGAAGGCTTTTCTTTTTGGGGGGCTGGCTTTGTGAAGCCTTCGTGGGTTCTAGCAGTGAGTACCATGTCATGCTGTGTTCCCCTATGGGGCTCTCACCAGCACCCTGAATGCCAGCAAAGGAAGGCAGCCAAGGCCCTCCGGTGCTCCAGGGCAACAATAGATGTTAAAGCTTTCAAGGCAGGGAGGGAAAAAACTTGCAGTGATACCGCACTAGTTTGGTTAAATGGGGAGCCACTTGGCAACTAAATTTGATAATGCTTTTGTCCATGGGTCAGAGGTTAAATATGTTCACACTAATCCCCTTCATCTAGAATTAAAGGACAAGAAAGATTTCTCCGTAGCTTAGTGAGAGGGCTTTTCTCATCGTGCTTTAAATAGTATTTGCACAGGAAAATTAAAGGCAGACCATTGGCCCCGATGGCATCGTGGCTGCACGGCTCCGCCACGCTCCCACCTCCTCGCTCCTTTTGGTGAATCCACCAGCTTGCACGATGCCTGGCCTCATCACATTTCCCCATGTGTGCACCAAGGAGCACAGGGAACTCTTGCTGCCATTTGCTGTCAAAGTGGCAAGGGCAGCCGTGGTTTGGGAGGCAGGGAGATTCCCGGCTGCAGGAATGCGCGCCAGGACTCAGATTTCAAGTGCTGTCACAGGACATTACTGTCAGACAAAGGGGCTCTGTGCTGCGCCCCTAGGACCCACTGCCCCCAGACCCTCTGTGAGCTGGGGCCGGCACCTGAGCGTCCAGAATCCACTCTTGCACCAAGAGAAAATGTCCATCGCACATGGCAGCACCAGCATACCCTCCCCCGCTGGGGCTGTGCAGCCCAGGCGAGCACGGGAGGGATAATTACCTCTAAGCATACTTAATGCTACAGTGCATTATCTCTGGCTATGGAGAAAAGCGTGATCCAGAGGTATTTCCCCCCAAAGTCTCGTTGGGCTGCTCTCAGAAAACCCTCCTGAGTCCTGTGAAACGGTAACAGAAAGTCACAGGCAGCCCAGGAAGATGTCAGGTTGGTTTTGGTAAGGAAGTGTGCCAGCTGCTTGTGCTGGCTGCTTGTGCCAGGAATTGCTCTGATCAAACTGTGCAAGAGGATGCAGCAGGACAAGCCACAAACAGCATCTCCCAAATCTGCTGCTGGAGCAGGGACATTGCAGATGGCTGCTGGTGGCCAGTGGCACCACTGAGACAAGCCCCAGCCACTGGCAGAGTCATGCAAGGATCCCAGTGAAGCGCTGGCCTGACCATTAATTGTGGTGCCACACCGAGTGTGAGGCAAACAGAATTTGTTTTTCAGTGTGATTTATAGCTCACATCACCAAACTCACGTGTTATGTTCCACTTGCTCAAAATCTGTCATTTCCACACTGGAAGAATCAGTGTGCCATACATCTGCAGCATCACTGCAAGGTTTTGGGCTGGAACCATTTTGAGGCAGAGAAAGCAAAGCAAATGTGAGGAGATAAGACAAATATGTAATAAATTTGACTCGATGTACATTTGCCAAGAACAGGGGTGGTGCGTGCCCGTGTGACAGTGCAGCTCCGGCGCAATGCCCCCTCCACCTCCTCCAGGCTCCCACACATTCCTTGGCAAACCCAAGACAGTTATGGGGTTGCTGGGATGCTCTTCTATGGAAAAACACCGAGAGCTCTGGCATATAACGCAAAAATAATTTAAAAATTTTAAAAAATCCCCGTGCAGTCGTTGAGCAACGCTTGCCATGGGAGCGAGCGCGGGGGCATCCTGCCACCTCTGCTCCCGGGCTCCTGCTCTCACGCGCCAGATCTTTCTCCCTTTGTACCTCCGCTTATACTGCACGACTGTTTTGAATCTCTAAAATAATGTGACAAGTTAATGATGGCACAATTATCTAAATGTTTAACAGACATGTTATCTAAGTGAATCGGATTGAGATTCCATCCCGCTGACAATAAACATCAATGGGAGAGCAGAAAGTGATAGGCAAATTATCGCCAACCCTGCAATTTCAATGCTATTAAATTTGGAGGAATAACAGCCCTGAGGCCTGTAAACTCTGAATAGAATAGACCCTTGTGTTTGGCCAACTATTAAATCAAAACGCTACCAACATCCCAGCAAAAGAAAAAACCAGGGGGGAAGAAAAGGGGGGAAGATATAGAGCTTTTCAATTTTCAGTTACACGTTGGTTTTATTAATTCTTTTCTGCTAGTGGTGTCTCAGGGCAGAGGATACGAGGGATATGAGGGATGAGAGTGTGGGCTGTAGAAAGGGAATGCACCCAGGGGATGTGGGCAAGGGAGAGTGAAGGGTCCTGCTCCATCCTTGGTGGCGTGGCCGGGGGCACGCCAACCCCACAAATCAAAAATCCAACTGCTTGCTGAGGCAAACGTGCTCTATAGTGGGTGTCGCTCATGCCCACGTGAAACTGGGTCAGGAGTAAATCTGTGCTGTCCTGCTGACTGACACCGGCTGCCGTGTGCTAACTGCCTTGGCACACAGGAGGAAACTCAAGACGAGTCACCTCTGATATTTATAAACGTCGGCACGAGCCCAAAGCCCGTTAGCACCAGCACCGCTCGTGTGCACATCCCGACTCCCAGCGGTGCTGCCTGGGGCTACTCAGGCTGCCATCTCAATGCATTCTGTTTTTTCCTCTACATTTGAGGAGAAGGGTAAGGAATTTTCCATGCTCTCTTCCCCAGCACCAAGCCTGTGCTGCTGGAAGATGAGCCAAAACAGTTGCTGCTTTTCCTATTGCAGCGGGATGGGGGCCAAGGACAGTGCACACCCGGAGAGGGCGTCTCGGCCCCGTGTCTGTGAGGCTGCACACAGCCCTGCCAGTGCTGTGCTTACAAGCAGGAACTGTTTTTTAAATTCATTCTTGTTTTTTGCCTTGCCTCAGGAAGTGGGGTGTTAGTTTTCTGCTGTGGAGACGAGCAGTGCTTGATGCAGCACATGTACAACAGCCTGACTTTGTGTTACCATCATTCAAAGCAGCTGGAGGCAGTAATGATAAGCTCCCTTTGGGTCACTGTGTCCCCCTGCTCTGCTTGCCCACTGCCCTTTGAGCTTTGGCACAGTCCAGCCCCAAGGACTCACCAGCCAAAGGGGGTTTAATCCCTACAGGAATGTCAGGGTTGTTAGCCAAACTGCTCTGCATCTGCAGGATGGTTTGGGGTGCAGGCATCATTGAGCTCCATGGCTGGGCTCCCACTTGTCAGCCCATGATGCTCAATGGGTCTGGGAAATAGAAGGAAAGGGATAACTAGCTGCAGTTTGCTCGGCCACTTTGACCCCCCTGCCAGGGCTTGGGTTGTTCAGCCCTGTGCAGCCAGTCCCTCACTGTGCTGGCAGCCCCTTCTCCTCAGCCTACAGCACAGAGGGCTTCAAAACAGACCTGGAATGGCAAAACTCAGCCTCCAGCTGTCAGGGCATGGACAGGGAGGGCAAGTACTTTAAGATTTATGGACTGGTGTTTGGCCAGCACAGCTCCGTGACCGGGTGACAGCCGGTGACACAGCACTTTGCATCCGTCCTCACACCCCCAGCATGAAGTCGGGCGGGTTCTCTGTGCCAGCCCCGAGCACAAACTCGCTGCTAGTGGCATTTCTGTCAGGGCTTTCAGCACTGAAAGATGAACCTGTGCTCAGTTAAACTGCTCCCGATATAGCACAGGAGGAGCAGGCGCTCTGTCCTGCTCCAGTCTGGATTTGGAGGGTGAAGGGCTCCACCTGGGTCTGCCCGGCTGTGAATTCCCCCAGGCAAACCTTTCCCAAGCACAGCAGCTTTTGCAAGAGGCTGAAGACATCCTTGTGTTCCTGATGGTGGCATCACTGAAGGGCTGGGAAGTGCCAGAGCAGAAACATGGCAGCAACCAACTTCTGGGAGGTGTTTGGACAGGGACAAGCTTTGCTTGCAAAGGGGACAAACGAGCTCACATTTGTTCTGCCATTGTTTCCCATGTTAATGCTGAGCAGCGCTGTAACAGCACTGCACCAACTGGTGCCTTAATCTGTGCTTTAGTCTAAGAGGAACTGGGGCTGCCTGGGCAGCGCAGAGGCAGGACCTGCAGAAGGTCCAGCTGTCTGTTGGGCAAAGGGTGACAAAGGCAACGCAAATGTTAAAACCTGCACCTAACTGAGGGGTGGAAGGGGAGGCCACGTACCGGTGTGCGTCTGCCGGTGCGTCTCCAGGGCATCTTCCTTCGAGAACTGGGCGCCACACTGATCGCAGACCAGGGCCTTGGCACCCGCTGGGGAGAGAAAGGGACAGCAGGGTTATTCCAGGGACAGAAGGACGCACACCTGAGCGTGCACCTGCACACTGCTGCTGCCATTAACACTCCAGTGCCATGGAGAGGTTTCATGCTTAATGTCCCCTGTGCAGCCAGCAAAAGCAGTGCCTCATTCAGCCCTGTGCTCCTGTTCCTTGCACATCACAGCAAAATACAGAGCTGCTTGCCAGGAAAAGATTATTATTGTTTTTTAAAATCATTACATATCAATGCATTTCATTAGCACTGCAACTTATCCAATTGCAATTGGTTTCCTGTTCCTTCCTATCGTGGCTGGTGCTGCTGGTACCCAAAGATGCACCTGATGAGGGATGTGGCTGGAATGCAACAACTGAGCAAGAAGCTCAGAGGCATCTCTGACTATTGGAAAGAGATGTGGGATTTGGGGCAATTCTTAGAAAATTACTATCAATGTGCTGCTGGTTTGGGTGAGGAAAAACCCAGGATGCCCAGCAGCAGATCAGTAACTTCTAGATGGAACCAGATTAATGACACACCATATCCAACAGCATTGTGGGACAAAGCCACGGCCCCATTTCAAGGTTTGATTCATCTGTTGTGAGGAGTTAAATGTTACAGAGCAGGACTCAAGGTGGGGGCACTGCCTCACAGAATGCTGTGCTGCCCATTTGCAGGGGTCCACACTGCCTCTGCCCTCTCCTTCCTACCCCACCGAGCCCTTCATCCCAGAGTCAGGGTGGGGTTTGGGGAAAGGTGGGCAGTGAAGGCGACAGGGAGAGAGGTATCACAAGATGCATTGAAAAGAGAATTCCTTTGCCTTTAAATTGTCTCGGTAACGGCTGGCTCGCAGGCAGAAATATTTGGCAGCGGCGAAATTAAAAGTGATAAATTTTCTCGCCAAGAGCTGATCAATAATAGAGGTCTCATCTGTTAATCAATATGACAGTCTGCCTGTTTACTGTGCATATGTTGTTCCCTGCCGCCCTCGCTGCGATGTCAAGTTTGCATTCAAAACAACCCGAGTGCACCTGGGCCGCTGGTGGCTCCAAAGGGGCAAACACGCCCAAACTTTGGGGTGCTCTGGGGTGACTCCCTCACACCTGCCAGGGGACCCCGCGCCCAGCATGCCATCAGGGATGCGGGGCACTGGGATGCGGGTGCTGCCGGGGGTGCCCTCTCCAGGCGCAGCAGGGAGAGGAAGAGCGCGTCCCTGAAGGTGCGGGCTGGGGGGAAGCCAGGGCCCGGATCGATAGGGCAGCAGCCGGGCCGCCCTCCGCCCGGCACACGGCGCGGGCAGCGCGCAGCCCGCAGTTGCCAAGGCAATGGCTCTCCGTGGCTCTCCATCGCCGCTCAAAGCTCCGCCGGCCCCAGCGCAGCGATCCGCGAGGATGCAACAACTGCGGCAGCAACAGGTTCTCCCCGGGCAGGGCGGCCGTGCCCGGCACTCGGGGCATTCTGCGCTCGCAGGGCCTTGCTGCACCCGCAGGCTGAGACCGAGCACGGTCCTGCTCCGCACGGGGCTCGCTTTGACTGCCCCCATTTCCACATGGGATTAGCGGGGAGGAGAGACGTGCCAGTGCCCTCCGCAAGCTGCGGCCAGAGGGGCGCGGGGAGGCACGGCCGGCGAGGCAAAGGCAGCCAGCATCTGGCTGGGGGGCGGGCGGAGGGGGCAGGAAGAATTCCTGGCGAGGCGAAAATAAACAGGGCGAACGCAGGGAGGAGCCGGGCGCACTGGCTTACATAAGGAAGCACAGTGTGTACCAAAACAGCGGACCCAAAAAAAGCCGGAGCTGTCAGAACAATGAGTACAGACGCGGGGCATTTACAGCAGGCGCTGCCGTACAGTTTTATTTACAGTACCTCTTATCAGCGCGGGAACAGCACGCCGCCTGCCAATTTCCAAAGGCCAGGACTGCGTGTTCTTTCCCTCAAGTAGATGTGTACTCCAGGCGGGAGGAGGTTGTTTTTTTTTTTTTCTCTCGTTTTTTTTCTTTTTTTTTTTTTTTTTCTTTTCTCATCAGCAAAACAAAAAACTGATACGGAGCCAGAATTCCTGTAATGTACACACGCCGGCGGGGAGGGGGAGGAGGAGGAGGGCGGCGATTGAATATGTAAATAGTTCAAGGTTAATTTTACTATGTGAGTCACTGGGAAAATGTCATCCAACATCTGAGCTTATTATAACAGGGCTCAGAAAAAAACCACCACGGCTTGCTGTTTGTTATGAAAGGGAGCAGGACACGTTGGAAAGCGGAGCTCATGGCAGGGCTCTCTTCTCTCCCCCCCTTGCCTTTCTCCCTGCTTTAAACAGAAACCATCAGCGCAGGTTTGGGCAGGGTATATTTAGCCAGCGCCTCGTATCGCCTACAACACGCAGATATCTGCAGATGATCTTATCGATGGGCTGGGACGGGACTCCGCGTGCTGCCAAGTATCGGCCGTGTTTCGGCGCGAGCCTTGCTGCTGGCACCAGCCCCCTGCCGTACATTTATATCCGCACAGGGAAATTTATAGCCCCTGCCTAATAAAGGTCGCTGGTGCAAACGGGTGAGGAGCTGCTGCTGCTCCATCCTGCGCAGTCACTGCCGCCCCAAGCGCCCCCCAAGCAAGGCTGGAGCTGCCCAGGTCTGCAGTGCCACCAAAGCCACACGGAGGGGCAGAACTCAGGTTGGACTTCATGATCTTGGAGGTCTTTCTGAGCCTCTGTTATTTAATTTCCCCTCCAAGAAATGTGAGGGAGCAGGCTGCCGGGCTCTTGGGAGTGGGATGCCCCATGGGTCAGGACATGGGCAGGGGCTGCAGCTCCCTCCCAACCAGCCAGGCTTAGCTCACTGGGCTGGATGACAGAGCTCATCTTGTTATCCACCATCATCCCAGCAGTCCCTCCCAATGCCCATCCTTTAATTACTTTATTGGGGAGCAGAAACTTCCGTGGGGCTATGGAAGAGGCACACTAAACTCTAGCTCAGGAAGAGAGAAGGAATAAAGGAAAAAGAGGGACTGCCAGCATCCTCTGGAGGAGGAGGAAGATGGCTAAGGGAGGAGGAAGATGGGAAATTGCTGAGGAGAGTGGTGGGGGAGGATCCAGCCTTCCCTGCTGCTGGTTTGGCACAATGGCCCCATCAGTAGAATGTGACATCCCCTCCCTCAGCAGAAGCAATTAATAAAAATTTGGGGTTGTATATTATTAACAGGCTGTAATTGGTGAGAAGATGGAGATGTGAGGGGGGAAATATGGATTAAAAAAAAAAATCGGCAAGAAAATTTATGCACTGCCGTTGCTTTACTACCTAATTAATTCAGTAATTTCAAAAACAATTTTATTTATGTTCCGTTTACCACATCAGAAGTGCAAAGAAAAAAGCACCAAACCACAGTGATGCTAAAATAATACCTCAAGGCATCTATTTTTAATCAGTGAAAAAAAGAGGGAAAAAAAGAGAAGAGCCAGCCCAGCTTCTATACAATCTCTGCTGGGCAGACCACCAACTCGGGGAGCGCAGCAGCCGAGCCCTCTGCGAGTGCCTTCCTGGCTGCCGAAAACAGAGCTTGTCAAAAAAAAAAAAAAAACAAATCCATAATGGCCTGAGGCTCCTCTCCAATCTATTTTCTGCTCAGCTGGTTTTAAATGAAGTTATTATGAGTCATTAAAACACCCGCAAGCCTGTGGAAGTCAGCCAATTACAATTTTAAATTTAGCCTGTTCTCTATCCCATTCTCTTGTTTTCTTCTTTTGCCCACATCAAGCTGCTTTTGGATTTTTATTATTGCCATTATTATTATTATTATTATTATTATTATTATCATTATTATTATTTCCCTTCTCCCCTGTTTCACCCAAGTGGAAGAGACAAGTCATGAAAATCTCTGTGCTAAAAAAATACTGTAGAGAAACCCAAGAAGGGCTTAAAAAAGACAGAGCTGCAGAGCAGGCCTGGAGAGTCAGCCTCAGCTCCTGCTTCCCCAAGTGCCATGGAAAGGTAATAACTAATATCAGAAAAAGTGAAATGTGGGCATCACAGAGTGAGGAGGGACCTTGCGCTGGAGTGCAGGAAACTCGTCTGAGATGGATGCTGTGGCAGCACCTCATGGGCTGCCCTGGGGAGCCTTGGGAAAGCACCTGGAGTGATGGAGCAGGGCCTGGGGGCGGGTGAGCTGGTGGTCAGCAGCGACACCATCACCCGACCTTGGCCGGGCAGTGCCACCAACTCCTGCACCGCACAGGGACTGGTGGAGCAGGGAGCATTTTCATTAAAAAAAACCCCAATTATTAATGATAATAATTGACTTGGGATCCCAAACGGGCAGGTTTTTACACAACCCCCTTTCCTGCTGCCCCTGCCATTGCCGCTCTTTCCAGCAGCATCCTCTCCACAGGGAAAAAATTACAGACCCCATCCCTGGCAGCCCCGCACGGCGAGCGAGCACGGCGCGTACTGCACAGCCCATAAAACTCCAAACAGCCTCCAGACACTCCTGCAATCGTCCTCCATCAAAACACTTTGTCTTGCATACAGAAATGCGGCGGGGCGCCGCGCGGAATACCAAATCAGCCCGTGACGGTGCGGGGAGGCGGCTCCTTGGCAACCGGGGGGGCTCCGCCACCGCCGCCGCTCGACAGGAAACAAAATCTGTCAAGCCTGTTGGGCAAATGATAAACATTAGCGGTATTAAAAACAACACAAAAGCTGCGTAAATGGCTGGCGAGCGTGCGGGGAGGGCTGGGCAGGGACGGGGGGGCTCCTGCCCTGTTTGCCGCCCAGCCCAAGTGAGGGGGGTCTCCAGCACCACCACCTGGGGGGAAGTTTGGGAAGTTTCCCCCCTCCAGCAGAAAGCAGGTGGGCAGTGATGGCCACGGACGTCGTGAGGGAACCAGAGGGATGGATGGACACGGGATGCGTTGGGTGTGTGTGAGGGGTCCTGGCACCCTGCTCTGCACCCCACTTTCAATGACACCAATAACGTCAATAATGTCAATAATGTCAATAACAAGGGGCAGCCAAACCAAGGGAGTGGTGAGAGACGGTGGGTGAAAAATAAACGTATTTCATCAGGTGAGGGCGGGGAGAAGCAAGAAGCTGGCTTCAACCCAGCGGCCAGGTCCAGGAACCCGGCCAAAACAGGAGCTAAAAAGCAAACCATAATTTTCTGGTCTCAGTTCAGGCTCTTGAGGCAGGGAGGATGGGGAGGGGAGGGGTGGGGGCTAAGAGAAATGTATTTTTCATCAGCCAGTGTATAATTTATAAACAGCATTAAACAGTTTTTGTTTTCTTTCTTCCTCTCCCCCGTGTGCGCGGCTTGGCCGGCAGTCAAGCCTGCATTAATTTCTGCTGTGGGTACAGTGTGTTCTTGGATGCACATCTGCGGATGATCATAAACGCGGGAACGCTGGCAGAACATCCAGACCTGCCGGCAGGCCGCTGACATCACCCGGGACCGAGCGCGGGACGCCGGCCAGCCGGGGCGGGGGGGCGGCGGCGTCCCCAGGGAGCGCCGCGGGACCGGCCGGGGCCAGGGGACCACGCTCAGCCCGCACAGCCCCGCACAGCCCGCACAGCCCCGCAGAGCCCGCACAGCCCCACAGAGCCCCGCAGAGCCCATACAGCCCCGCAGAGCGTGCACAGCCCCGCACAGCCCCGCAGAGCCTGCACAGCCCCGCAGAGCCCCGCAGAGCCCCGCAGAGCCCGCACAGCCCCGTACAGCCCGCTCAGCCCCGCTCAGCCCCGCAGAGCGTGCACACCCACCCGCCGGGGGACCAGGCGATGCTCGCTGGGGATGGATGGCCCGGGATGAGCCCCCTCTCCTGCCACTGGCAGACAGAGGCAAGGGTGGGATGTGGATGCACCGTCCCCTTCTGTCTGAGGTGCCATCCATCCCTACCAGCACGTGGACCCCACTCCCCTGGTAGTCCCTGCTCCCTGGACAGCTCGTCCATCCCCCAGTAGGACCTTGGGGCTTTCTTCTGCCTCTCCTGATGATGAAGGAGTGTGTTTGGGTGGGAGGGAGGGTGTGAAGCAACAGGGCAGGGGTCTGCAGGGCTGCTGCCTGTGTGTTCGCCACGCTGCCCATGAGCATCCCTGCACACTGTTGGCTGTTCCCACCGTTCCCAGCCCAGAGTGGAGAAGGGCAGCACAGGCATCTCCACAGCAGCCATTTCTGCTGGACGGAGAGGCAAAGCAAGTGGGGACAGACAGAAACCCCCTTTCCTCCCTGTCCTGGGGAACAAACACAGCTCACAGCAGGTGCTGAGTAACCAGCATCCCAGGCTGAGAATGAGCACCCACTGAGCATCAGCTCTGGCAAGGATGCAACTGAGGGAGCAGCAGTGCTGGGATCAGCCTCCCTGGTCAAACCAGTGGTGCTCTGAACCACAGAACCAACAAGCTGGGTCTCCCACCTCACCTTCGCTGACAATTTGCTTTTCTGGGAGAAAGGCAACTCTCCATGTCAGCCTCAGAGATCCCTGAGAGTTTGTCTGCCAGCAGTGTGGGCAGCAGGTAGGGAAAGACTCTGCATGGCATTAAAGGCTTTACATTTACACTTTATACTGAGAGTCAACATGGGGCCCAGTATTTACCCTGCACCTGCAAGGCTGTGGCACAAGAGTGGTGTGTGCTCAGCCCAGCCTGCCACAGAGCACCACAGCCCCCCAGGGCTGGTCCCCAACCAGGTCCTCAGTAGGAACCTTTACCATAGCCCATCAACACCTGGACGGGGAAGCTGCAGATGTTAACCCCCTTAAACCCTTTGGCACTGCGGGTGGAGAAGGGTGCCAGGGGGCTCAAGCCATCCCACTGCAAACTCCCAGTTAAACACAGGGTCCACTGGTGTGGAGGCAAAGCTGCCTTCAGAGCTGAACACGAGCCCTGCACCGCTCCAGCATAACCTCCCTGTGTCCAGGGCTGGTGGCGGGGGGAGGCGAGGGAAGAGGTGCAAAGGTCTCCTGCTTTAATAAATAACAGCGCTGGAATTCACAGCGGCTGTTTGCGAGCTCGAGGCAGAGCTCTCCCCACCCCCCAGTCCCTGCCGGATTTAAAAAAAAAATAAAAAATTAATCCTGTGCGATGACAAGCTTGGCTCAGCGTTCACTGTACATACTGTACCCACAAAGCTGGCTGCCTGCCAGGGACAGGCTGTGAGCCAGCGCGACCATAACAAACACAAGCCCTGCGTGCCACTGCTGGGGGAGCGGCACCCTCAGCCCCGCTCCGGGGGGACCAGCATCCTGAACTCCTGCATCGGGGGTTCCAGCATCCCAGGGACCTCCCCAGCAACCTGCTGCTGTCTGCAGGCATCCTGAGGAGCTGGGCCTGGCCCAAAAAATAGTGGGATGGGAATGGGGTCAGGACTATTGACAGAAAGCAGCAATTGGACAGACAAAGTGCCCCCCTGCCCCAGGAAAAAGAGGAAGTGGGGAAGAAAAAATGAAAACAGGTAAAATATAGATAAAAGTGTGTAACAGCGTTTAAAATAGAATACAGCTTCACTGCCAAGCTACGTGCAAACAGATCTGTGGCTACAGTACCTGCCACCCCCCAGAGATCTGTCCTCGGAGCAGGAGGACAAGGACTCCTGACGGTGCTGGGGTCCAGGGGTCCCCTGGCTGTCGCCAGGTTCCTACATCAGACCCCCAGTTGTGCCAGGACTGCACCCCCAAGGGGAACATCAGCTGACATGGACTTGCAGAGCACAAGTCTTCCCTCCAGTGCAGCGCTCCAGCCCTCCCCTATCTATTTAATTAAAGGCCTTGCAGCCTGTGAACCTGCTACTTGGATTCATTAGTCAGAGAACGCCTAATTCTGCAGTTTTGCTAACGAACCTGCGGTGGGGGCCCGAGGTGGAAACAATGCTCACGCTACAAGCAGGGCTGACCATGAGTAGCTGCGTGGCATGTAGAGTTTGTTATTCCAAGCTGCTTAGTCTGGAAAATATTTCCACAATTAAGGAACTGAATACAAACTCCAAAAAAGAAAATTTAAATAAATCAAATTACTGGGCACTGGAGAACAAGTTTGCAATGTGCTGCCCGGGGAAGGGCGCAGCCGGCTCCGCACGTGTCTGCTGTAGAGGAGACGTGTGAGCTGGGCAGCCACAGCATCCCTGGGCGGACAGACAGAGCAACCCCCCGTCCCCAGCCCTCAGCCCCTCCCCACCCACCTGAGTGAGCCAGTAAGTGCATTCGCAGCCGCAAGCTGTCCAGGAACCGCTTCCCGCACAGCTCGCATCCGTACGTCTTCATCCCACTGTGCAGCTTCCTAGGGGAGAACAAAGAGGGGTGAGTCCTGAGATGGGGGAAGTGACCCAAAACAACGCCGAGAAACTGCCTGGTGCTTCCTGCAGCCCACACATTGCCCAGAGTCAGCGCTGGCTTCAGAAACACTGCAGGGAGGGCACGGATGGGGGGTCCCACGTGACTCCCCAGCACTGAGGAGACAACCCTGTCCCCACCAGTGTTTGTCATTGTTGCTATTGTTGGAGTCTTTTAATAAACTTGATAATTCTGAAATCTGGAGTTAAGGCAAAATCTGTGTTGGCAAACTCCTTCCCCATGTTCTGAGTGCTTTTGAAAAAGGCACTGTACTCCAAAAAAAACCCCAACCACTTTAAGAGGTTGTTTGTGTGCATTTCTAACCAAATCCCAATTTCCATCCAAATTCAGCATGACACAAATCACAAGCAACAAACACAGCCACCAGCTCGCAAACAGGAAACATGCCACTCACCGTTTCCTGGCAGCCCCAGGTACACAGCGAGCTACGCCCAGGCTGCATTGCACAACCTCCGACTGTGCCTCCCCCCCACAGGGGGCTGAGCATCCCCCACATCCTGCCAGGAGGGGCCTTTCTGCCCAGGGCACTGCCCACAGGCACTGATCACAGCAACGGGTGCCACGGTGGCCAGACTCTGCATTATTGCCCATTCCTTACTCTGAAGACATCGATGCTCCACCTTTGGGTGACCAAGCTCTGGACCAAGTGGAATGACCTTTAGAGGAGGCAGTGTTAAAGGAGCACTGTCCAAGCTTGAAAACACCAACCCAATCCCATTTCCTTCCCAAGACATTGCTGCTGCCCCTGGCATCCCCCCAGACCCATTTCCCCTCCCCTTGGGGACCAACCATTGCTCAGCCCCCACCACCCAGCGGGGAGCACCCTGAGGCTCGGTCCCACAGCAGCCTCTGCTGCTAAGGGGGCACGGAGGGACACAATGCCCAGAACATGTGGAATGGGGGCTCGGTGCTTTATTTCGCCACCTCCACTGGTGATAAACAGACTCTGCAAAGCCACCTGGCTCTGTGCTGGGCAGCCAGCTGATCAGTGCCCCTGAGCCCCAAATGCATGGGCTGCTGCCCGCCAGCCCTCGGTCACCCTGAGCTGCTCAGACCTGTGGCTGGGGAGGACTCAGGACAGCAGCACGTGCAAAGTTTCAACATCGGATGCTGTAAACAGAGAAGTATTTGTGTGTGTTGAGGAGTAACACAGCCCATAGCTGTGGGCTGACCTCTGCTCGCAGCCACCATTTATCATTGTGCCGCAGCAGGACGAGAGGATTTCTATTGCCTTGTTGCCAAAGACAAAACAGGAATGGTCCTTTCCAGGGCTGGATGTGGACCCTCTCGTGGGAGGGCTCAGCCCCAGCTGTGCAGGCTTGTGAGGACCATGTGCCTGTGAGCTCCTGCTGTACTTCCCCTGATGTGTAAGTTTTATTGGAGCAAAGCAGCTGCTGCTCTGACTCCAAGCAGGATCAGCCCTCACTGCTGCAGAGAGCCCAGAGCCCCAAACCACCCCTGCCCCATGGGGCTCAGGGGCTCGTTCCCTGGCTGCCAGCCCCACATCCCACCTTGCAGGATACTGAATAGCAGCATGAGAAGAGTTGGAGCAGGAGAAGACCCCCTGATGTCCAGCAGTGAGTGAATGCTGCAGAGCAGAGGGGAGAGGGAAGGAGCAGGAGCTGGTTTCAACTCTCAACTTTGCTGTATAATGTAATTATTAATCAGGCTTGTCCTGAATTCACTGTGTCATAGCAGAGGATTAGGAGTCATGCACGAATTCAGGCCAAGAAGGTTTACAATCCAAAGGATTTATCCGCCTTGCAAAAATAAATAAAACACCAGCCTCCTGACAGGGCTCCGCTGCCAACGAGCAGCTCAATAAGTGACAACCTTCTCATTTTGCATTTTTAATTTGGGACATGCCTGTCACACTCCCTGGCTTGGGCTGTGCTCACTCCTGCTCTTAACACTGGGCTAAAACCACTTTGTTAGGAAGACCCACGTCATGCTGTGGGTCCACACTGCCCCTTCTGAGGCCAGAACACCTTTTCCCTGAATTACAGTCTAAGTGGTTAATTAGTTCAAGTAAAACATGGAGGTTTGGGGTTGTTTTAAGCAAGTCTCAAGAAACAGAGAAACAGAAGGACAAGCTTCCTTCCTCTGCATCTCCCAAGCCTATGGCTAGCACAACCTCTTCTCCCATTTTCCCAGCACAGAGAGGGGAAATAAGGAAATGAGGAGACCCCCAACCCCACTGGTGTCACAGTGCCCTGGAAATCCACCTGCCACTGCCCAGGGTGCTACCACGTCCCCAAATCACATCCTCTCTGCATTGTTTCAATGGGGCACAGGGGTGCTCAAAGAGTAATTTAGTTGCAATATCTCTATCAACAAATTTCAGCAGCAACAAAAGTTTTCCGCTCGGCGCCTGCTTCTAGGACGTTCTTATCACTCGCCATCTTGCATGGTCCCTTTCAACAAGGTCTTAAAGAGCTTTATCTGCTCCATTTCCCGGTAGCGAAATATGATTGAAACGTTCTATTTCTGCTTGCCGGATTAAGGAGATGTTGCAAAACTGCACAAAAACCTGGCAGATGTAAGCAAGGTATTACGGCTGCTCGGGCTGTTAAGATCTGAGGGGAAAGATCAATATGTGCTTCTGAAGTTGTGCCTCCAGAAAGAGGGGGTGGGGGAGTGAAGGGTGTTAAAATACATGCCAGTGCTGCCCAAAGTCTGTGCCAAAAGATAAACCATGTTTTAATATTCTGATATGAGGCTGCAACTGTGCTCCTTCTCCTGCAAGGTCCCTACAAGCACATCAGCCAAGAAGGAGCCCATGGGATGGAGAGCAGACGCAAATGGGAAAAGTGCCTTTTTTGTAAAAAGAAGGTTTTCCTCTAGCTCCTACACAATGTCTCACTTGAAGTGCATGGAAGCAAAGTCAGCCAAAGCCTCCAGGTGATGAGATATCACTCGAGGATGCTCCGGCACAGAGGGTGGCCCAGGGCGATGAGGATGCCCAGGGCAACAAGGATGCTTGTGGCACAGAGTCCCAGGCCTGGATCCTCCCCTCCCCAGTGAGCCCCAGCCCAGGGCTTTGGCAAGGGGCTCTCCAGGCGGAATGCAAGCCCAGCGATCCCCCCTCCCCGCCCAGCCCCGGCAAACAAAAGCCGGGCGAGAGGCTGGCCCCTCGCAAGCTGCCGGTAATTAAAAAGGCCTGTAAATGCCCCACAAAAAGCACTTCAAAGGGACGGCGACTCCAGCGAGACTGCGTGGTGTAAAAATTATGAGTTTTCCCCACAGGGTGCTTTGTGTGAAAAGGCCAGGCTCAGTGGCAAACGCCGCTGACCAGTGCTCAGGGATGCAGGGGCTTGGCAGAGCCTCGCAGGGTGCAGGAGTTGGGTGGAGCATACTGGGCATGGGCACGGGTGCAGTCCTGGTACCTAAAGACCACTGCAAGTGTCCCATGCCACCACAAGCAAATCTCTGCTCTGCCCGCTTAAAACCCCGCCTAAAACAGCCTCTGCTCTCTTTACTTAAGGAACTCTTGTATCCCAGCCCCTCCCCACCACCCCTTTTGGGAAGCAGGGGACACCCCCTCCCCTCCCTCCGTGCTGAAAAAGACACATGGCTCTTGGCTGTTTGATTACTTTTAAGTGTGTATTTTTCCCCTCAAACAGAGTGAATACAATGGTTAGGAAATTTGACAGAAAACTATTCCAAGCCATTTATTGCCTTAATGCGCACCTTTGTCCAACAGGCAGTTTTGACAGGAGCGATAAATTCCAAATTTATGTCAACAGAGCATATGTTGAACACCTCATTTCTGAGCTAAAGCGGCATGCTGCCCCATAAATCACCCTTCTGTTTGAAATGAAAGTAGATTACGGGCCCATGTTATTGAGCAGTTAGAGCCATAGTCATATAAATCAGAACTTTTAACTCCAGGCGATCCGTTCTGCAATTAACTAAAGGGCACTTTGTCATCTCCGGGCCAGGGCACAGCTTGGCAGGGCGGCCGGCTACCGAGGGAAGGCAAGAGCCCCTTGCTGCTGAGGAAAGGCACCAGCGCAGCTGAGGATCACTCGGTACCTGTTGGAGCAGCGAGCCCCAAGACAAAGCCTGGAGCAGCGTGGGGCTGGAACAGCCTGGCATGGGAGATCCACGGCTGCAGGGGCTTGCACCTCCCTGCCCATGGATCCTGCCTGATCCATGTTTTGGACACAAAACACAGAGGGGGAATTGGGAGGCTGCACGACACAAGCAAAACAGCAGAGTCCTGACAAGTCCAAAGCCAGGCAAAAACACATGTGAGTGTCCTGTCCCTACAGAAATCTGTATTGGGACTTCCACAGTGGTTTTGCTGCATCTCTCAATGCCCAAGCATCAGATCAAGATCCTCAACCCACTGATGTCCCCCATCCTTCCTGCTGCATTTCCCTGGTTTGTTCCCCTGCATCTCCCAGGAATGCCATGCCATGGGACAGGGGTCCTGTGGGGTGTGGGGCTGGCAGGTGCTGTGGGCAGTGGGACCAGAGGATGCTGTGGGGCAGGGGATGCTGCAGGGGCTCAGCCCCGTGAGTGCTGGCAAAGGGTGCGGGTGCAAGGGGCAACTCACACCCATGGGAGTGTCAGAGCTATAAAAAGATTCAGACACTAAGTATTTCCTTTCCTATAAAATATTCATTGCTGCACACGAGTGCCAGGGAGCACAAACCTCCAGTGATTCTAACTTTGTGCTGCAGCAATAAGGGAGTTTTATGGGAGCCTTCTGATTTTATTTACACTGGGCCATCACAGAGGTGCCCTGCTAGAGGGGCAGCCACCAGCCAGACACGATGCACTGAAAACTGGGCAGCCAAAATGGGACCAGCGCCACTTTGCATTCCCCAAAAATCCTCCCTGCCACCCCCTTTCCCCCGGTGTCTCCCTTGCCCAGGTAAATCGATACGAAATTGATTCATCCCTGATCTATTTTATCAA